CAAAAAATAATCCCATTAAAAAGTGGGCAAAGGACATAAATAAACATTTCTAAAAAGAAGGCATACAAATGGTCAATTGGTATGTTAAAAAATGCTCAGTTTCACTAATCATCAGAGAAATGCAAATTAAAACCACAATTAGATATCCTCTCACCCCGCTTAGAATGGCTATTACTAAAAAGACAAAAAATAACAGAAGCTGATGAGGCTGTCGAGAAAAGGGAATTCTTATACACTGTTGTTAAGAATGTAAATTTGTACAACCTCCTTGGAAAACAGTTTGGGCATTTCTCAAAATACTACAAATGGAACTACCATACAAGCCAGCATTTGCACTACCGGGTATGTATTCACAGAAAAGGAATCAGAATATCTAAAGGATAATTGCATTGCATGTTTATTGCAGCATTATTCACAATAGCAAAGATATGGAATCAACCTAAGTGTCCATCAATAGATGAATGGATAAAGAAAATGTGATATAATATACACAATGGAATACTATTTGACCATAAAAAATGTGGTATATATACAAAAAGGAATACTATACATCCATAAGAATAAAATCATGTCATTTTATTCATGTCATTTATTCAGCAAGGTAGATGGAACTGGAAGTTATTGTGTTAAGTGAAATACGTCAGGTACAGAAAGACACACAGTGCATGTTCTCACTCATATGTGAGAGCTAAAAAAGTTGATCTCATGGAAGTAGGAAGCAGAATGATAGCTATCAGAGAAGTATGTGGGTGATGGTGCACAGGAGGAAACAATGAAGAGAGTTTGTTTAATGGGTAGAAACATGCAGTTAGATAAAAGGTATAAGTTCTAAGATTCAATAGCATATAGGGTGATTAAAATGAACAAAAGTATTATGTATTTCAAGAGATAGCTAAAAGAGAGGACTTAAAATGTTCCCAACACATAGAAATCATAAACATTTGGAGCAATGGATAATGGAAATATCCTAACTTGATCATTACACATTCTATGCATATAACAAAACATCACATGTACCCCTAAGTATGTACAAATACATATCAATAAAACAAAGAGAATGAAAAGACAATCCAAAGACTGGTAATGTTTACTAATCACATATCTTAAAAAGAAGTTGTATCCAGAACATACGAACAACTTTTAAAACTCAACAATAAGAACACAAACAAAAAAAGGGGGGCAAAATTCTAGACTTTACCAAGAAAGATGTATATATGGTATATAATTCACCATTAGGAAAATGCAAATTAAAACCACATAGAAACAAAAATCTGTGACAATGAGAAGAAAAGTCAACAAACCTGTCAATATTAATTGCTGATAAAGATGACAAACTAAGAGAACCCTCATACATTATTGGTGGTAGTGAAAAATAATACAGGTACCTTGAAAAGTGGTTTTCTAGTTCTTACGAAGTTACCGTAGACATACCATATTACCCAGCAGTCCTCCTCCTAGATATCAACCCAGGACAAATGAAAATAAATATCCACATGAAAACCTGTTGATGAATGTTTTCAAAGACTGTATTCATAATCACCCAACCCTGGAAACAACACAAATATCTAAAATGTGGCAAATGGATAAGTAAAATGTAGTTTATTCAACAGAATAAAATTCAGCAATGAAACGAAACTTACTAACACATGTTTAAAAATTAACTGAAAATAGATCATTAATTTAAATGTGAAATATAAAACAAAACTTTTAGAAGAATGCATAGGAGAAAACCTTCATAAACTACGGCTGGCTAGGGAAAGAGTTCTTTGACGTGACACTAAATGCACAGTTTATGAAAGAAAAAAATTTATGAACAGGACTTCATCAGAATTAAAAATGTTTGCCCTACGAAAGATCTGTTAAGAGGGTGAAAGACAAGCTACAGACTGAGAGAAAATATTCACAAAGAATATATTCAATAGAGACTTGTATCTAGAAAATATAAAGATCAAAGCTCAGTAGTTTTAAAAAATCCATTTAGAAAATGGACAAAAAATATGAATAGGTATTTTACCAGCGACAAGGTACAGATGGCAAATAAGCACATGAAAAGATGTATGGTCAACATCACTAGTGAGATATCACTATGTACCTAATAAAATGGCTAAAACTAAAACATAGTAATAATACCAAATGCTGAGGAGGATGTAGAGAAAGTGGGTCTTTCATACATGACTGGTGGGAATATAAAATGGTACAGCCACTCTGGAAAATAGTTTGGTATTATCTTATAAAGTTAGAAATGCATTTACCATATGACCCAGCAATCACATTCTTGGGCATTTAACCTAAAGATATGAAAACTTACATTCATATAAAAACTTATACATGAATATACACAGTAAATTTATTTCTAATAATCAAAAACTGGAATCAATCCAAATGCCCTACAATGGGTTAATGGTTAAACAAAATGGCATATCTAGACAATAGAATATTACTCATCGGCAATAAACACGAATGAACTACTGATATTTACAAAAACTTGGATGGATCTCAAAGTTATTATGCTTATTGAAGTAAGCCAATCTCAAAAAGTTACATACCTTATGATTCCATTTCTATAACATCTACAAAATGACAAAAGGGATGGAGAACAGATTAGTGATTGCCAGGAGACAGAGATGAAGCTGGCAGTTGGGGACATTCCTACAAATGGGTAGCAGAACGGACTTGCCAGTGGTAGAACACTTCTGTATCTTTGTTTGTGGTCATTGTTGCACAAGACAATACAGAGGATCAAACTGCACAGAACTCCACACACACACATACACACACACACACACACACACACACAGAAATTACTGCATGTGAAACCTAATGAAAATTGGATAATGACCGTGTTTTAGTTACCAGTACTGTACCAATAAGAATGTCTTGGTTTTGATGTAGTATTAGCCATATAAGATGTTACCATTAGGCTATCACAAATAATGATCATAAAACTCAACATTAGTGTCCAGAATAATTTTTAATAAAGGCACTATGGCAAAATGTAGGCATTTTTGAAGGGGCCTGAGGTTAGAGGGTGGTGGTAAATAAAAACTAACACATATGAACTAAGAGAACTAGATACAGAACATATTTTCAGAAATCCAGGTAAAATGGGTCAACAAATCAATAAGAGGCAGTAGATAAACTAAAACCCTGTAAAACTGGCAAAGGGAAAAAGTAATATTTTTAAGAAATGCAAGAATTCTTTACAAGCATATCTTCATTGCCATCTCCAAAAGAGATGACATAACTTTCTTGTGCATAATATGCCTTCCTTTAATTATAACAGTCATCACCATCTTCCTTACCATCTTCATTATCACCATTATTACAGCAAACTAATTCAAACTACTTTCTTCCAGCATGCACTGCTTTAACCCTACTTATCTTGAGTTTTACCTGACATTTTTCTCACCGCTAATATAATTTTATGAGATTTTTCCACCATCTATGCCTTGTCTGAAGCACTTTTCAATTAGCAGAAAGTTCAATCACCTCCAAGAGTGCATCTTGCCATGTAAACCTGAAATCCTCTAATGAACAGCAGTGATCATTATTAGTTCACTGTTTTACATATCATAGCCCAGTTTTGAATAAACTCAAGAATAAAACTGTCTTCCTGTTAAAGGGATAAAGTTTAGAACAAATCAGTTCGCTAAGTTGTTCTGAAATATACTATGCATTTGCCATTTTATTTTCTAATATTTCCAGTTTACTCCCCCATTAACCCTTACACCCCTATCTGTACCCAGCATTATTATTCCCATAGTACAGATGAAGAGATTCAGAGAAGTTAAGCAATTTGCCCATGGTAAGAAGGAAAACCTTGAATTTGAATCCAGATAGTTCTATCTCTAGAACCGATCTACTCTTTTAACATCACAATAAGACCTCTAAAATCCAGAAAATCAATCTGACCTCACATACTGCTTGCAAGAGTATAAATTAGAACTACAACTTGGGAGATCAAATTTTCACATTAAGGCTGAACATGCACAAAATCTGTCTAGGTGGAAACCCAGCATGTCTATTTAGATGGAAACTGTGACATATATTCCTTGCCCTCACTCCTAAATTGTCCATTATTCTGAGTGTTCTGGATCCTTTCCAACAACATACAAGCATGTAGTAAAATCTTCTATAGGGTTGTTTACAACTGTCTCCAATTCCTCCCTTTCCATTGTCTGCTGAAAGTTCTCCAACCAGGCTTTCATTTCTAGTTATTGAAACAGCTCTTTGTGAAAGTCACCAATGATCACCACATCGTCAAATGCAGAAGTAAATTCTCAGTTCTCATCTAATCTTACCCATCACCAGATATGACTATAATTAATTACTCCCATTTAATTTTTCCATTTGCTGTTCAGGAGCTCTCTCTTGTTCCCGATTCTTTACCTATTTTACTAAAAATTACTTTTCAGCCTCATTTGCTACTTTCTCCTCAGCTTCCTGACCCTAAAGTTCTCAGTGCCCATAGCTATCTCACAATTCAATAACAGATACTTCTTTCAGAAGTCGAATTAATTTAGATAGCAGATTTATTTTTTTAATTCTAGGATTCAAAATTCCCTAACAATGTCTAACGCAGATTCCTTCTAAAACATTACTATGGATAAACCTCTCATAAAATATCAGTAATGCAATGCCATAAAGGCAGAATACAGAAACAGACGGATCATTACCCTCATCCAGTATGATATTCCAAGCAGAAAACATAAGGTAAAGGCACCAGCCTTGATTCAAAACACTTATTAGTTTTGTTATTAAATGTATAACATTGAATAAGAAAAGCATTAAGATTCTTATAGATGCAAAATTACATGATCCTGTGATTTATTTACTGAGTACATACATCTCAGATGCAGTAATAGTTGCTGTGAGGGATATAAAAAATTGGTACTTATATTCTTATTTTAGATTTCAAATGAATGGAAGGTCACCTAAATATTCCTACACCTTTATTAGGCACAATGAAAATCTCCTGAAAAAGCAAATTAAGTATGTACCTTTCAGTGCGGTAGTCTTTTCTTTTTCATCTGGACCTCCCTGCTGGATTTGTGCCATGTTTATCCAAATTGGCAACAAAATTAAAGAGCTCAAGGAAATAGACATCAATCTTCAGAAGACAGTCTAGAATGAATGAAAGCAATAAATTAAGTTCTACTCAAAACCTATCTATTCCATGAGAACTTCCTTGATCCTCCCAGTCAGGATTAATCTCTCTATCCTAATTTCCCACTTTGTTGATGCCTATACCATAGTACTTTTTATTGTCTGCTTTGCGTTATACTTATTTATGAATTTATCTGAGTCAGCTAATGGTATACAAGCCCCAGGAATAGAAATATCAAGTTTTTGTCATCTTTCTCTCATGTCCAACAAACACGATACTTTATACATTACAGTTACCTAATGTTTGCTGAATTTAGCTAAACTTACCATTTAGTTTTAGTTACCTATCACCTAATGTTTTTAAAAAATATCTTTGGGTAGTTCCAAAAACTTAAAATTTCTTTTAAAATAAATTGTAAGCATAGGCCATTTACAAGGTAGAATGTCTTCCTTTTGGAACAAGCAGATAGGAAGAGGCAAATACATAAATATATAAAGTATCTGCAAATTTCCTATAGTGTAATTAAAAATACAACTTTCAGGGAAAAACTAGCCCTTTTTAAATGAAACGATGTCATCATTGTCTGGAAGCCATACTCTATAAATGGTACTCCAGTAAACAACCATACTATAAAATCATGATTTATTAAAATCTAATTCTGCTCTACTTTGGCCAAAGGGAAAGCATTACAACTGAAAATAGATGGCTTTTTCCAGAGTCCCCATGAACAGGAAAGCTAATTAGTTGTAAAGTTTAAAAGGAAAAAAAGTACATCTCCTACAATACTTAGCATAAGTATCTATTATTTTTCTTCTGTGTATAGGTAACTCAAAACTCTATAAATTCTACATGAATAAAATGTGTCTATATCCCTTCAAGAAATATATCCTAGTATATAAGGTAGGCAATGGACAAGACTCTGGGGGTACCACGGTGAGTAAAACAAATATTGTCACTGCCTTCCTATGGCTTACTTTGTAGCTGATGAACCAAACTGCCAAGCAGCCACAAAGAAAATACATCAGACCTAGACTGATAATCACAATAATGTTAAAACAAATAAATATTTGCAAGGGCTGTATATTTCCATTCAGGAATTAGCCAAGTCCTACATGATGATGCACAAATTTCACCAACAACTTTTCATTACACATCATCTTGTAGCAGAAATTAAAGAGAAATGTTCTTAATGAGGAATTCCACACAGCACCCTTTGCTAAATATTCCACAACTAAGTTAACTACCTACAGGAGATTTCCCTTCACTAACTCAGTATTTCTTCCAAACATAAACTATTAGATTATTTTTCATTGGCCCCAAATTGTCTGATTCCTGAACAGAACAATATATATAAGTATGTCATCATGATTGGTTTAACAAAGATAAAATTATAAATAATGTCTTCAGTGCTAGGGTTATTATCAAAATTCCTATTTCAATGAATCACTTTCAAGATTCCAAAGATTAAATAAAAATTAATAATCATTATTTTATGAGACAACCTAAAAACTGACAAAGCAATTTACTGGAGTAATAACATATAAGTTAAAAGACTATTGGCTGGGCGCAGTGGCTCACGCCTATAATCCCAGCACTTTGGGAGGCCGAGGAGGGCAGATCATGAGGTCAGGAGATGGAGACCAAACTGGCTAACATGGTGAAACCCCGTCTCTACTAAAAATATAAAAAGTAGCCAGGTGTGGTGGCACACACCTGTAGTCCCACCTGCTCAGGAGGCTGAGGCAGGAGAATCGCTTGAACCAGGGAGGCAGAGGTTGCAGTGAGTTGAGATCGCACCACTGTACTCCGGTCTGGTTGACAAAGCGAGACTCTGTCTCAAAAAAAAAACAAACCACCAATTACATGTGACCCTAAACTTTACAGTAGCAGATGCAAAGCAGGTAAGCATGAAGCAAAAGCGATTTGTCTGTTGCTCTCTTAACACAGTATTAGATTTTTACCCCCCTGAGTTATTTTTCCTGGCTGTGGCACAGCTGGTGAAGCTAAATCAAGAACATTATAAATTCTCAATTTAGTGTTTCCTAATAAAAATTCAGAGTTATAACCTGCATGACCACAGATAAACACTACTGAAAATGCAGCCAGCAAGCTGTTTGGCACATTTGATAGATATTAATATGTGCACTCGACATAGTTTATTTGGCATTATCTGATGGAGGTTGGGTTATAGAGAATAAAGTGGTGGAAGGTTTTTACTGATGTGAATTGGGACACAGTTGACATGTTGTACACTTCGTGATAACCACTGCTGTTTAAATATAGTTTCCTAGAAATGGTTACAGTACAAACTAGATTCAAAACATCTCAGTTTGCCATTCTATTCTGTGAACCACACAAAGCAATTATCATTTTTCCTTTCTATGATTCCAACAGAGAATCTACTATGTATAAAGCTATAAATAACTTGTCATGTGTAATCTTTATCTAGTCAGCATTTGAAAATATGAAATAGTACAATATTTCTTATTTGCCCTGTTGGCTCAAAATGCAGCATATGCACTTATAAAATGTACAGAAAGATACACAGAAGCCTTATTTTTCTACATTTGTTTATTTTTAGTCAGGTATTAAATACAAACTAGATATAGGTGATTTTGCAACAGAAGCCCTTTTCACCTCATATTCTGAATGCATTGATGAAAGTACAAAATATATCACAGAACACATAAAACTGGATTAATTTTCTAAGGTTCCCAGGACTGGTTTGGTTCCAGTCTGGCCCTAAAGATTCTATGCTCACTAAGTGAGACTCTTTAAATCAAGTTGTAAATAGCCTATGCAACTGAAATTATAGTAAATAGAATTGGTACAAGGGATTTATAAGGAACCAAAAGACCCACCCAAATTACAGTTAAAATATTCACCAGTTGCTCATCAGCAAAGATTAGTTCATAATAATGCTGGACAGCATTATTCTGAGGCTACAGTGAGAAAAACATTGTTGTGTGGGTACTGGGAAAGAAGCTGAAGAATGAAGACATCAGGTTGAGCAGACACAAGACAAAGCCCAGGGTAATATGGGCCCCTGGTGTGTAGAAAATGGTGGCTTTTATAACAAATGCAAAATTGTGTTTGGATCAAAGTTTCAGAGCCAAACCTCTTTGTTCCTGAGACTAAGAATACCCGGTTCCAATCCAAGTATATCTAAAATAAATCCTTAGTTTTACAAGCAACATGACATAGATTTGGAATGAGAAATCTAGGTTTTAATTTCAGTTCCACCACCTAGTAGATAAGTGACCTTGAGGATATTACAACTTCTCTAACCTAAGTAATGGGAAGAATCATGAAAATAAGAGCAGTTACCTTTGCAGGACTATTATGAAGATTACATGAAAAAATGTATATGAAGCATTTTATAAACTATAAATCCCTTTAAAAACATTAGTAATCCACATAAAATCTGAAATAACTAGATTCCAATTAATTTGTGCTCAAACCCACAGAATAACAAAATCACTCAATTCACAGAAATGAAAACCTTTTAATATGCATCACTTGGATGCACTCTATGCACAAATTATAAAGCCTCACAATAAATATCTGTTGAGTTAACTTGGGTTTCCATGACTATATTGAAAATAATTACAATAGAACTTAATTTTTTGACATAAATAAATTATATTTACATTCATTTCATTATATTTACATTCCTTTACATTCCTTTCAAGTCTTATTGAAACGCATGCTTGAACAAAGATCACATATGTGGGTTCCACCTTCATTTGCCCAAGGAAAAACACTCTTCCAACTATCTCATAAATGTATACACTGGTCACAAGATGACCAGTTCTATTCTTATTCATTATCTTATTAGGTCATTGCCACAACTGGCAGGGGTAGGCAGAATTAACACACCTGCATTTCTGGGCTTTGAAAAGCTAAGTGTGCCTCGTTCAGGCATCTCAGATGTGAAGGGATGGCTGAGATTCTAACTCAGGTCTTCTGACTCCTAATTATGAATGAGTTTCTTCTATTCTAGCATGTTGACACAGTCAAACAAAACAACTTCACTAGAAAAATAATTCCAGTTTCTTCATTCTGCAAAAGATTCATACCTACTCTTATGTACTAATTTCTGCTATTAGGAAGTATTACAATTTGAAGTTTGGGCAAACTGGACACAGGTATCTACAGACTAAACTTGTCAACCAAAACTGTCTTGGTATATTTGGTTTGCTATTCAGAATTAAGACTGATACAAATTACTTATCATCATCTCTCCTAATACTTCGGTAAAACAAGCAACTGTAAAAAGGGCCAAAAGTTAAGAGATACCAAATAAAAGTGTTTTAAAAGAATTAGTATTGCACTACTATGTCTTTTTAATAGGTACCCAAATTGGTAATCATCTGTTTTAAGTACTGCATTGTTTTCTGGCTAGCAAAAAGGCAGAAACTCAACAAGGCGGGAATATAAAATCTTAGAATATCTGTGACAATGTTAAAACTTAAGAAATTAAACAAAGACTAAGATGATTCTCAATTCTGAATCAAATTTCAAAAGAAAAGAATTAGTCTTTTATGAAGTTTTCATAATATGTAGCAGATATGGGAGAACAACGGCCAAAGACAAAATAATTCTCAAAATGAATATACCACACTCAAAATTTTAGAAAAACAGAGTATGTCAAACAAACATAAAAAATTGCTTTTATATGAGGCAATTATGAGCATCATATAAACTACTTACGAAACTCTAAGTCTGTAGTAAACATAAATAATAAAACATAAACAATATTATAAATGTACATAACTCCAGGCCAAATTATCTTCAGAAGATTTCAAAACAGCCTATACCATGAAATAGCAGTCATAACATATTTGTAAAATCAGAATCAAATTTTCAATTTTCTCATGCCATAAACACGCTCCTAGAATCTCTGTTAAACTTAGTGAACTCGAGGTTCACTAAGATTTTAAAATATAATACGCATGTGAACCATCCAGATGCCCCTTCAAGGGGAATATGCTGCTCAGCTAGAGTGCAGTTAGCA